AATTAATGTGAAAAGAAAGAGATAAGATAAAATAGAAGGCACTTGTCTTTATGCATTCATTCATGAATGTGAGACACCTAACATGGGAGAAAGGCATTTTTAATTATATCCTGTTAATAGGATAGGCAAGTTTTTGCCCGGCTATCAGAAAGTGACTATACAGAGACACTATGACTTATTCTTTTTTAAATGGAAGACTCTTGAACTCTGGACTGTGAGCTGTAGCATAAAATCTATTCTAAGAAGGGCAACTGTTCTGATCCCAGTAAATATAGCTTTTAAAAAGGGTTGAAAGCCCAGATGAATCAGGAGATTAGTAATAGACTGTAGAGCCTTTTCACTGCTAAGTCATTAGTTCAAGTGCAGCCATGACTGGCAGGGTTTGAATCACGGCTCTTTGATGGCAGTTAGAAAGAGTGTATGAAGAAAATTCTGTAGTCTTTGTTCCTGTTTTGTTTTAGAGGGCATCTCTGTTACAAAATCCTCATTATTAAACATTCAATAGAAGGCTAGTCAACTAAATGGTTGCTCTGTTTCAAGCCCTGGCTGTATGTTGGAAAACAACCTTTTTTACATTACTATGAGATTTTTTCACTCTGAGTCCCCATGTCAAAGGAAGTAGCATCTGCATGCAGAGTAGACAAATGTCAGCAAATCTTTCTGCTCTGGTTTACTGACTGTAAAATGCAGACAATGCTTTTATTGTCTCCATTATTTGACTTCCCTGTTCATTTACATCCTAAACTCAACACAAAAAAAAAATGCTTTTCTTGATGCTATACATGGTTCAGAGCAGGGAATGTTTACCTGTGAATAGTATTTATGGCAGTGGGATTCTTAGTTGTCATAGCTGCATTTCCCTGGAAAGGAAGAAATAATACTGAAAGAGGAGCATAGACTAGATTTGAAATCTAAGTGTGCAAGTCTCTTTCTTAGTAAGCATGTGAAACGTTTCTTGTCTAGCTTCTTTGTATATAAAAATTTGTGTCCTCTTTATACTTCAATGTTCAGATAAAAGGAAAACATTCAGTTTCTTGAGATGCCTTGTTTCTCTTAGCTGTATTGTGTCAGTGCACATTTTACTAAACGTATATCTCTAAGTGACTGCCACTTATAGTTGCCCAGCACAGACTAAGTGTGAATTTTTCAAATTTGTCCCTGTCTGGAGAGCTTTCTATTTCTTGAATAAATGTAATAAATCAATACAATATATCTCATAATTTTCTTGAGTAAAAATTACTAAAATATATGTACATTAAGAGAAGACAAGGCTAAAAACCTCTCCTGATGTAATCTGCGAAGGCAACTGCAGAAAAACAAGCAAACAAACAAAACAGAAAACAAACAAAATTGACCAGAAAAAGGTGTTGCACAATATCATGACAATGAATATTAGCTTTATGCAAAACTGTGGGCTGGGTATATGTCACTGTGACAGGTAATAACTGTCACCCTTCACTGAGGACAGCTGTAACAAGCCACTTGTGAATTGCTCTAGAAAGAAGGAGTAGACATCACTGAAAGCACAGACTTTTCTACAATAAAAACATATTTGGATGTTAAGACTTTGCAGGGGTGTGTTTTGGCTTGTTGGGTCTTTTGTTTGATTTTGGCTTTCCTTCAGCTGGGGAAATTTGCTTTATTTTTTGCGGGGTTTTTTTTCCATAGAGATACATGTGTCTGCATGTAAGAAAGAGAAAGGAACTACAAAAGCATCACTGAAAAAAATTAAAGAAGAAACAGAAATTAAAGAACCTTCTGAACAGGCACTGAGAATATAGCTCTGAGGAAGGTTTAGAGCCGCTGAGCTTTCTGGAAAAGCATTCGACAGACATGGAGCTTTAAAGAAGTGAACTTATTGGTCACTTGATTTGTTAACATTTAGGCAATTGAATATTTGGATTATGTCCCTTTCTCATTTAGCAATTATTATTTATGAAATGAAAAAAATTATGGCAGAAAGATTTCAGTTTATCTGGTTACAATTATCAAGGAAAATTTTGGTTCCTAATATTCAAACAGGCCCTGCTTCATTGCTGTTCCAGATGTGATATTGAAGCACAGGTTCATGAAGGCAAAGGCAAACCTTTATAAGATTTTAGGTCTAAAACCGTTCTTCATGAATAAGTGGTTACTGAATTAGTGAATTATAACATGCTGAAGGACCTGTGAGGTAATTCAGGTATTCTCTGGGCAAGAAGGCTAAGGCCTTCTTTTTCTTCTTCACAGTCACATCACACAGAAAAAAGATAGATCAAAGTATTTTTTTACTTTGTCACATATAGTGAAATTAAACACAGCTTTCTTTTCACTCTTCTTATTTCAGTCACATATTTTGCAAATTATTTAAAGAGAAGGAGAGCTGGACTTGATACAAGCCACCTTAATAGCAGAGCAAAAGTTACACTGGCACTGGTACCTTATAAAATAAAATAAAAAAATTCAAATAAAAAAAAATTGGCTAAGAAGGAAACTTTTTAATTTTTTTTTTTTAATTTGAGAATAATAACAATGAATGACTACATGGTTGAGCTCAGCAGATCATCACTCTCACTGGACATACTCTGTATCCTTTGGGAACATTTTGTATTAAAAAAAAATTCTGAACATTCTCTGTGACAGCTGCTCACACCCAGTTAAAAGGATACAACAGGATATAATTTCCAAATTAGGACATAAGCATCATTTAGCCAAAGGGAATGAATGACTCATGGAGATTGAAGGCTGCCAAAGCTTGAGACAAAAGTTGGTAGTTGAGAGCTAAAATGTATCATAGAAAGAATAGATGGAAGAAACTATTATGAAAGGGCAGAATTGAGTTGAAGATATGATTTAGGAAAGTCATGTGAGACAAGGAGATCTGTAATTTCTTATCATCTTTATCTGAAAAGTAATGCATGGAACTCAGAATTTGCTTACACTTTGCTACTTGCCCGAATAAAAATAACAATTCATGGCTTCTGCGCAGCTCTTGTTGAGTGTAGCTCAAAAAGCCCCAGACTGTCTGGGTGACCTCAGAAATAAGTTGACTCAGATCAACGAAACTTTCTTTTACACCCTCCCTTACACAGATCAGTGACATCCAAGCACTACATTTGCAATATTGATAGGTTGGTATCCTAAATTAAAAGACCAGAACGGATGAAAAACAGGATTAAAAACCGAAATCTAGGAAAAAAACATAAAAATAGCACAAAGAATATATGAAAATGTAAACATATAGAGTAAAGTGAATTTGGTGCTGCTTCCAACAGATCTGTAAATTTTTTAATTGCTTGCTGTTTCTAGCAAGGAACTTTATTGCATGTATTCAACACATTTTGGTAGGCATTAATTCAGTTTACCATCAGGTAAGCTCTGGTTATAAATGGCATAGAGCTGCTAATGAGATAGGTAAAGTGAATGTGAATACAGAAATACTTTTCTAAATTGCTGTTACTATAATTGAATTTTAATTGTTTTGAGAGGCTATACTAAATTAGGAGGTACTCTCCCTTGAGAATGGAGAGTTGTGGATAGACTAGAGAGATAAGCAGTCACCAACCGCATGACTTGCAGAAGAGCCAATGCCTGATTCTCCACCTGGGATAGGGAAATCCTGGTTATATGTAAAAATTCAGGATTGAGAATTTTGGGAGCAGCCCTGCAGAAAGAAATGTCTCCTCTCTCTGGTGACCAGCAGTACAGCATGAGGGAATGGAATGACGCTTCATTCAGGAAGGATGATACTCCTGGCCATAGGATTTAATTTTAAGTGGTTCTACAAGGAACATGAGTTGAACTTAATGATCCTTATGGCTCCCATCCAAACTGAGATATTCTGTGACTCTATGATTTTATACTAAGTGGACTCAACAGTCCCATTGCTTATTCTTTACTTATTCTGTTAATTTTGTGGTAGCATGTGGATAGAACTTTATTCCAATTCCTGAAAAATAGCCCGTTATCTTGATAATAGACTGGCAGGAATATGTTCAGTGATAAAGCTTTTAGTTACTGTATTTACCTCAAGACTGCAGGGTTCCTCCAGGCAACAGTGCATAAGCAGTGCAGAATAAAATTCAGATGACATAAACAGAACCCTATGTGCACCAGGAAAAACTGTTCTCTGCTGTCCTATTTCTGTCAAGCATTGCAGAGCTAATGGGAAGGTACTCACTTGATCTATTTGCTTTTCCCAGTGATTGATTAAAATTCCCTAGCTTTTGTAGAGGCATAAAACCATTTCATCAGTCCAGGCAGGCACCTTAAGTAATTTAAGTTTGATATTTTTGAGAGTGTGTTTACCATGATCTAAATCACCAGAATAATTCTGAGTGTTCAGCCTGTTACCCACAACAGGCACACATATCCTTTGCATCATTTTTTTCCACAACAAATGTACATTCTGCACATGAATTAAGCAGGATCATTTGATAGGGTGCATTAGTAACAATGTGGCCTCATTTTCCTCTTCTATATGTTGATTTTGCTCAAGATGCAATAGCAGTTACACTAGATTTACACAATTTTAAGTAAGAAATTGTGTAAATTTAGCCTTCCTGTAGCTGCAGAGCAGAGTGCCACACAAAGTATGCTAATTGAAAACTACTGCAGTTATAAATATTTCACAAAATGTCTGTGTAAGATTTATGATATTCTCTGCTTCCACGCGTTTGTAGTAATCTACAGTAATACTACTTTTACAAAGCCAGATAGTAAATCCTTTATTTCCATTAGTAGGCATTCAGTCATGAATTCAGGAGTATTCCTGTGATTAACAACTCACCAATGGAATGGAGAGATCAATATTCTCAGCCCTTCCTCAAAACACATGTAATAGAGACAGTTAAAATTTCTATGGTGAAGAAGATGCTATCAGCAAGATGCTTTTTGGATGTCTCAGTGCTTTGAAATATCCCATATAGGAAAAAAAAAAAAAAAAGAAACAAGGAGTACAATTAATTTCTTTTTTTTTTTTTTTTTTTGTTCAAGGGTGCTTGGACTTAAACCCAAGGAAAGAAAGCAGTATGCAGAGGTAAAACTGTATTTACCAGAGAAAAAAAATCCTTGAGGCAGAAGGAGCATGTTTTTTGCTACAGTAACTGAAGCCTGTGCTCTTAGCCTTTGAACATATGTGCATCCTTATTTTCATATAACCAAATAAAAAAATGCTGCATGTAAGTGAAGAAATATTATTTTGCTGTGACACTGACTGCTTATTGCTCTGGTAAGTGGCAATCCTGTCTTTCTTTCTGTTCACACTCTTGAGTAGTTCACTGTTTCATCACACTGCTTTCTGTATTTCAAAGGCATATTGTCAACATCAATCCAGGTTCTATTTAAAAAGAAATGGGCGGGGAAGGGGTTAGGGAAAAAATACACAGGAAGAAGCATCTGAGTACGCAGGTTTTCTCTCTCTCTCTTTGTCTGACTTCTCTGTTTAGGCTGCTATGTTTTCTATCTAGGGCAGTGACTGTATTCCTTGTGCTTTTATATTTCTAGCACAATTTAATTTCCATCTTGGCTGGAGATTGTAGCACAAATTAAAAATAAAATACTATCTCATTATATGAAAATGACAAGTTTTTCATTTGGCAGTGTTCTTTTGCTTCCTTCTTGTAATTGCTTCTAATGGTGACCAGTAAAGGGCATCCTATTAATGCTGTTTAACAGAATGAAATAAGACACTGGCAACTAGAGGAAATATTTTTGTCTTCATTTATAAGATCTTTCTATTTCATATTTAAAATAAAATATTTTTTCAGCATTCCTAGTTCATAATTTATTTAAGGAGATTTTTTGTGGTCTCCACATATTTTCTCTTTTAACTTATGAAAATGATGTGTGCATGCCTCACAGATATGAGCTAGGAACACATGTGACCATTCATAGATTTAAAGCAACATTAATTATTTTAAGTTCAGCTATAAAAACAGAAAGGATTGCAGAAAGCCTAATGGTCACTAAATAATAATAAAAATATGTGTATTCATAAATGACAGACTTGTGTTAACTCATGGGATGACAGGTTTTATGTAACTTTAAGCAATTACTATTATAATTATTTAAGTTTGTTCCTTTCATAAAAGTCTCCAGACACTCATATAAACAACTAAAAGGATTTTTTTCAGGAAGGGGGAGAATTGGATAAAAATTATGTTAGTACAAAGCTGCTTTGTCTTGTCTTTTCTTTTGTTTACAAGCCAAAAGAGCGATAAGTTACATTTGTAACTTATCACTGGATGTAATTAGCTAATGTTAAAATATTGATTTTACATTAAGCAAGATAAATGTTAAAATATTGACAATGAAATGTGCTTCTGATTAAGACTGTCACTTTCTGAGATAAAAAGATCCTATGTTCTAGACAATCTTCTCTGTAATTTCAATATGTAAATTTCTTAGTATATTACAACATGGAGAACTGCTTAGTCAGGCATGGAGAACTTTCAGTATGCTGGTGCTAAATAAAGGTACAGGTTAAAAAGCTTGTTTGGATTAAATAAACTTAGGGCCCAAGTTAATGTATGAATCACTTCAAATCATGCTTTCTCATTTTTTTACAGAAAATCAATCATGTGAAAAGGATGTAGGAATTTTCATGAGGCACTATGTAACCTTGCACCAGACCTTACAAACTTGCTGTCACCGTGATCACAACTAGAGCTCTTTTTTCTTGGCTTCTCTTTGGAGATGCAGAAAACAGATGATGCTCATCTAATTAAGTAGGTTAACAAAGTTCCTCAGCTTTAAGATAATTTTTTTTTCTTATGACAAAATGGAACTATAGCCTGTAAGTGTAAAGAGGAAGAAAGTCATTCACCCTGTAATATTTTGGCATTTGCTTTTCCATGGGAGCATCTACATATTTTTGTAAGTACGATTAATTTTACTGGTTTCCTTGACATGGATATTATTTGTATCTCAACTATTTTAGAAAAGACTAGGCTTTACAGCATGAGTAACAAAGAATCAGCCTTAGCAATGGAGTAAGACATTCAATTCTGCTTGACACTGCTCTCGGTACTGCTTCTCAAAAGAAGGGCAATTGAATAGGCAAGGTGTCAGCACAGAGAAAAAGGAAAAATTATACTTAGGAAACTTAAGGGCAATAAGTAGTCTCAAGTGCAGGTGATACCCTTGATAGGCACAGATATTCAGCACATTTGCTTGGAACTTTTCCTAAAATCAGGCATTCCAAAAGCATAGAAATGGCTTTCAAACCTTGAAGATACATGGTATTAGGATAATTTTACAGAAAGGATAACTTTCAAATGGAACAGATAAGATATATTGTCTCACATATATTAACATAAAAAGGACATGATAAATTTGCCCTGGCAGAATTTTTCTGAGCTTCTTCTATTCATACTTTCAAGTTCAACAACTCCATGTATCTTCACGAGCTGAAGCAAAGTCCTCTGGAAAATAAACTTCTGTTACCGTGGGTGCATAGTGGGTTTTATATTCTTTATACAAGCCTGAAGCTCCCCCCACCACTTTCCCTCTTTCCCTTCCTTCATCTCTTCTTGCCTACCTCAGCAGATGGGATCTTGATTTCCTGGAAGGAATTTCCACCTAACTGAGTGAACATCAATTAATCCTGGGGCAAAAGATTCTTTTGTGTACAAGCACATCATGTACTCTGCAGATACAAAATGCAAGCAAACGTCATAGGCACTTCCGGTCACAGAAGTTGCAAGAATTCAGTTGGTGTTTTTGTACAAGTCCTAGCACCTTGGGATGATCTCTGTTTTCTTGTTTTCTCAGCAAACACAGGCACTACCGGAGGGAGACTTGAAGACACCAAAGCATTTTTTTGTGTGTGGTGTCCCTGTGCTCTTTCCATTGAGTCTGATGGAAGGCACCAGTTAGAGGAAGGCCTGTGAAAGTTCACCTTTGGTTGAACCTAGGCATGTTTCTTGAATGTTTCTAAGGAACTTGTAAGCCACCAGAAGGTATTTATAAAGATATTTATAAAATCACTTACATGAATGAAATTATTGTCAAAAAATTTGTTCCATCAGCAAGCAGAAGCAGACGAGCTGCAGTAGAAATTTCAGTTCTTACTTGTCATGCCAAACCAGCATAATCATTGCCCTCTTCAGGTTTCTTTAGATTCTGCCCCCTCAAAAATATTCAGCAGCATTGTACCTTAGATGCAATGCTTCTAGGTGTGGTGAGAAAGCACAAACACTTTTTCCACGCAGTTCAGCTCATGCCATCTGTCTCCCTTGAAAAGGCATCTTCTGACAAAGAGGATGGCTTTTAGACCACAGGGAGTGTAGAGAATATGATTGCCCTAGATCTTTTTTAAAATGAGGTTGGGCCTGTTTGAACCCACACCCACATCCTCTTTACAGAACCAGGTACAAATATATTGTCATTCTTTAACAAAAAATTATAAAAAAAAAACCTTCTCCTGCTTCGCTGTATCCCATGGATTTTATCCCTAAAATGGGACAAGAAAAAAGAAAGAAGAAAAAAATGCTTCTATACAAAGCCAGAGATACTGTGACCTGAGAACATTCACTTTTATAAAGAATACCATATTTCCTGCTCATTCTCTGTCTCCTCCATTTCACCTCTGTGGTGCATTGTGTTCAAGCACAGCTATTCTGAAGCTAAAATAACCATTAAAGACTTATCATTCTGGGTGAGACTCTGAATACTTCACAAAGCATTTTTCAAAAATGAACTTATTTTATCCCTGTGAAATAAAACAGTATGGATGAAGAACTGTAAGACTGAAGTCAGTGAAAAAGCTGATTATAACAAAAGAATCTAATTCTTAATCTTAGATTCTTCTAGTGTTATATTAGATCTTCTTCCTGCTTTAGAGGATGTGAGGATGCCTTACACCCTCATGGACTAAAAATGGACTAATCACGGACTAGTCATGGACTGAAAAAATATTTAACAAGTATTAAACTAACTAATAAACCAAAACAACTATTTTCTGGATGGTGCCTAAATATCTGTCTTTACAGAAAGAAGAAATAGATCTGAAATATTAAAAAAAACCTGCAAAGCTAAAAAAAATAGTGGATGTGTGCACGCACACACACATATATATTTAGCAAATATGAATAGTCTCTAAAGGTATAATTAGTGGAGAACGAGACAGGAATTTAATACTAGGCAAGAAATAGGCCAATTCAGCTGAGCTTCCCTACTGCACTGACAGCTGGCTGAATCTTTATATATGTTAGATGTATAAGTACTAGTGATTTATTGGTTTGTTTTTCTCTAGCATCCTTTGTATGACAGTGCAGGAGAAGAAACTTAATAATGACCTCCAAACTGGATTTTTTGCTCCTTTATTTCTTTTCTTTGTTTGTTTGTTTGCTGGTTTTTTGTGAGATAAGGTAGACATTTATATGGTATTCCATTTTTGAAATTAGGGTAGTCCAAAACGAACATATTTGCCATCATGAGTAAAAGGAAACATTGTTAGTTCTCTTCAAATACAGCATGACTATCAAGAAGAATACATTGGAAAATTGATATTACATGACAATTTATGTCAGGTCAAAACCAGAAAATAGAAAGAGTCTGCAAATTTACTCTTTTTATTTAACAAATAATTATGTATTGCAAAAATATAAGAAAATATTAAATATTGGTTAGGTAATTTAATTGAATCACACCTACAGTTTCAAATAAGTGCTTTTCAATGCAGTATATAATACTTTCTCTCATACAATAGCTGTGATCTGCATCTCTTCATTGCAGTATCTCTTCTGTAGCTATACACTGTATTGTGCTGTTGTTGTTTACTGCTGTAATGTTGCTCATTTACAGTGTGATCAGATTTGTCTAAAATTTTTGTGTTTGCCTTTGCACCTTTTTTAAAATTTACTGATAATTCAATCTGCAGATACTCAAGGACCTTTGCCATAGCTTTGGTGAATGTGATGATCTATTTTCAGCTAGGTTTTCAAGGTCACCCCCTATTCAGCTTAATCTAACACCCTTATTTTGTCTATTTTCTTTGAAGTACCACATTGTCCAAAAACAAAATCTTATATGAAGCGAAGTCTGCTAGATTCCAGCCCTGCCTCCCCATGGAAGTGTCTGCACAGATGAGGCAGATGATCCACTCTAATTCAGGGTTAAGCAGTCCATATTGGAAAGACAGCCTGATGAGGTTGTAGTGAGTCAGAAAACTACTGAGAAATACAAGGAGGGCTGTCACTATGGTCTTACATGAGAATTTAGAGTTCTGCTTGCAGGCCGCAAAACTAGAACTTTCCTCCTGGTAGGGGCTCTTATAAACTACACAAACCTTCCAGGGTGTAAACCAAAAATGTCTCTCCTGTCTTTCCCCATCTCCATGTCAGGTACAAAATTTGGCTAGACAAATTAGGCTGTGCCACTCACTCTGACTCACTGATTATATATTTTGTATAGGCTTGAAAGCAAGGTCAGCACTTGCTTCAGGTGGACTAAATAGTAACCACTTTTCCTCTCTTTGTACCCCACTATTTCAAGGTCATAAAATGAAAGGAATAATTTAATTATACTATTTCTGGGTCTTTACTTATTGTTTACCATACTATTAGTTCTTCATTATTTCTACCATGTAGAAATTGCATCTTGAATCAGCTTTTCTGGGTTTGGCCCAAAAGAAGGTTAAGAAATAAATAAAAAACATTCTCATGATCTCATCTGCTATAACAGTTTCCTGCCATTTCACTCAGCTTCCCACACAGAGCTCAGCACTGCCCTAAATGTACTAAGCTGTTCCTGGGTTAGTACCTTCACTTCTCACAGCTAAATAGCCCATATAGCTGATTCTGTTCTTGTTCTATTTTCTCTTTGATGTTCTCAATCAGGCTGACTATGACCTTGTGGAATTTTTAAAATTATATATTGCATAAATTATTTTTTCTGTGGGATTTTCAATATTTTTTCTCTAATGCAATTTTTTCTATCCATTTGCATTTTTTACAAGTAGCACTATTTTCCTCTTCCTCAAATGACTGGTTATTATTGCAATATGTAATCACCCCATACTTAGAGAAAGACACTTTTTACCTTTATTATTCACTATGAATTTTGAACATAATTTTCACTCCTTAAAAGTCATTGTAAAGATTGAAACACAAAAATACTGTGATTGTATAATATGTCTCCTTGAGGACTCATCATACATTATACAGGATGATTGACTGTGGGTCAGTAGTCTGTATTGGATTCTTCCTAGAAAGGACTCTGACATAAGACCTTTTAGGTAGGTAAATTGATTTAAGTATCAAAGACCGAATTTTTATCAACAATTACAGTGGTGATACCCATTATTTTTCAGGCTGTAACAACAGGGTGTGCAATTTTGCATGCCATATCATACTCACCCACAGTAACTGAAAGTGACAACTTGTCTTGCCTCAAAGAGATTGTTTTGTATCCCAACAAGGTGAAAAATAACACCCAAAAGTCAGGTAACACACCACAAATGGATAGTATTTTCAAAGTTAGGTAGACTACAAAGAGGAGTAGTACACCCTTATTAACTGTAGCAATCATATTAGTTGAAGAATGTTTGCATTTAGATAAGAACAATGCTTATAATGCAAGATGACAAAAGAATGGAGTGCATTCTTCTTTACACAAAATATAAAACTTTTAGTCCTCTCAAGTCTATCAGAAATGATGATTTTCAGAAGAAAAACCTTTAAGTAACATAAAGAAATAAATTATGCAATACACAGCATAAATTATAAGGAATTACATGAAACATCAGTAACAACTTGAAAAAATTCCTAAAACATTATTTTTTGTAGCACATCACTATGCACAAGAATAAGGTGAAAGACACATTATTTTCCTGTATTATACAAATGATATCTGATCTTTTTAATCATATCTCA